TTTCTGAAGACAGTCGGTTTCCTTCAGAGATACATTCATATAAAACACCCGCGCCGCGTTTTGATTTTGAAATGTGCATTGCTCATGTTTATTCAACGAAATCAAACGCCAGAAATAAATCAATGTATGGGAAACACTGGTAATATCGAAATATTGGAAATGTGTTTAAAAATCATATCACCGTTATTGAAAAAAATTATATCGCGATACATATTGATATTGAATTATTGTCCAGCCCTAATATCATCAAATCATCTGGTCATCTTAATCTGGTAGAATCTAGTTTTCCAACTGAGATGACAAAAATTGCTTTATCAAGCTGGTTCTTTCTATAGTAGACCACTTAAATCAGCTATAAACCACCTCCCATTTCTTAAACAACAGTGGTATGATCTAGTTTTTCAAGCAGAAAAGACAAAAATGCCTTTCACCACCTACCACATCCCAAAAACAGTCTACCATGTCCTAAAAAATACAAAAATGGCTTTATTAAGCAGGTTAATGCCGGTAGACCACTTTAAAACCAGCTACATGTTCTAAAAAACCAGCCTGACCATCTTAATCTGGTATGATCTGTCAAAATGTCTTTATCAAGCTGGCTTGTGCTAGTAGACCGCTTTGAACCAACCACTGTCCTAAAAACAGCCGTAACATCTTAAATTGGTATGATCTGTTTGCCAGAGAAGCCAAAGATGGTTTTGAGGAATTGCTCTAATGATGTGTCATCAAATCCAGCATGTTATCTGAACTTTTATTTTCTTTTTTCTACAGAGCCGAGGTTCTAAGCAGAGTGTGGCGTGTTCGAGTCCAGTGCCTGTGTTTGTGGATCAGGTGGAGCACGACTCACTGGTCTCTCTAGATGCTCTGGAGGTCATGTCTGAGTGCGACATGCCCATCGCCTTCACCCGAGGCTCCCGGTCTCGAGCCAGTCTGCCCGTGGTCCGCTCTACCAACCAGACCAAGGATCGCTCACTAGGTATACACATTGATATGCACATACTAAATTATATGTAAATACTAGGGATGTAACGGTTCATAAAATTCATGGTTCAGTTCGATACGGCACAGTGGTGTCACGGTTCGGTACGTTTTAGGTACCTTTTCGAAAAGGGGGTGGGGGTAATTGCTTACTTCAGAAATTAATATATATAATTGCTTATGTTGGAAATATTTCTGTTTTAAACCACGAAGGCGAGCTAGTGGATATCACATAAGCAACGTGCAAACTAATGCCAGTGAACGTCTTAATCTCAGTCAATTCACTATGCAGAAAGTGAATGTAAAAATGGAATGACGGCGTAATGACAGAGCTTTTAGCATCTGACGCAGAATAATTGATGTTTTTGACAATATCTCTGGCTATCGTCGATACAAGATCGTCGTCTTTCGACGCAACCCAGCAAGGGGAGGTTATCGTGGGGCTGTCCGCTACACCACTGGGCAGACAGCACGTTGCCTGTTACGTCATTTGGGCTGCCTTGTTGAACGCAGTGGCACTGAGAACATTATATTTCACACTCTTTAAGCTCTTTTATTTTCCAAATATAATAGGATTAGTCCAACAAATCATTCGGTTTGTAATGCGTACCGAACCGAAAGCCTCGTACCGAACGGTCCATTTCGAATACGTGTATCGTTACACCCCCAGTAAATACACACGTTACAAATATAGCAACCATGCAGACCTATTAGATTTATTAAATCTATATTCATTCATTCATTCATTCATTCATTCAACTGCAGTCGGGAAAAAAATTGGGGGAAAAACATTTTTTCACCCAAATCGTGCAACCCTACAACTAGCTAAATAAAAAACTATACAATACACATATAATATGTTTTCCCCATTTAATTCAAACTGGCAAAGGTTGCGGGGCCTGTCAAATTTTATTAATGATGGGTGTTTGATTTCTGCGGAAATCCGCTGAGCTTTCTGTGAAGTTCTGGGGGTCTGTGAATGAGTGATCTCGCACTGCTGCTTTACTTATTTCCCGTCTGCTGCTAAATGATTTAGTTGCAGAGTTAAAGCATCTGTGGAAGTGTGTGTTTACTTAAGTTTGTCTGTCTGTCTCTTGTATTTAAGTTCAATGTCATAACAGCGAATTCGGCTCTGTCATTACCGCTTCATGTAATGGAAATATACGAGGCTCCACAGCTGAAATTCATAGCCTGTACTTAACAACGCACAGGCATATATTACGGCACAGACTCATGCTTGTGGACACACACAGAAACACACGGAAATAGGACTCTTTTGCCAACATACACACACACATATAGTACACTATCACACTCTGTATTCTCCCTACATCCAGATAGAATGACGGTCAAACACACACAGGCCTTGAAATGGGAGCCTTCTCTGGCTGCTCAACTCTGATTGGCTGGTTTAAACAAGGACCAGATGGAAAGACTGTTATGGGGAGAAATTGTGTGTTCATTCAGACTATTCCCTCAAAATTCATCTGAGAAGATAGATATAGACCGACCTGCAGAGAGAAACTAGATGTTGTTTAATCAGGAAGGAACACAAAGGCAAGGAGACGTGCATCTATTAGAGACATTCAGTGTTGACCCGATTGCTGTAAGTCATCATTCATTTAGTTCAGCGGTATTTAGTTTCTGTCGCTGTTGAGAGATGTCGTCTTAGGTTTGTTTAAGACCTTCTTTTGAAGTATAGGTTCTGCAAGTAAAAAGTTCATTTATTTATCCTTTACAGAAATTTATTTGTAACAAAAACTTTTTGTAATTTTGTAATTAACTTCAAATATGTCATATTGTATTCAGTTGCATGTTGACGTTCAGCCAGTAGTTTAATATTGTACCATTTATATTTGTTTACATCATTCGCAGTGCACCATGGGATGTGCAGTTCATGACTTTGTATAAGATGTTAAGTATGCAATCTTGTAATTATTAATTATTTTTCTCATTTTCAAATGCATTTTAGATTCAAATCAAAGTTGGACATTCATTTCAAAGCTGTTTGTTGTTATTATTTGTTTATCCTTTTTTATTGTTGGATAAAACTATTAAACATCATTTTTTGGTATTTAAAATAACGCTGAAACTAAAAAATATATAAATATTAGATTAAAAACATAAATGAAAATGAGAAATGTTGCTTGGTAACTAATTGAAATAAAATGTAAGTTTAAGCTGAACTACTAAAATTAGTATTACTGAAATAAAAGGAAACTAAAGCTAAGTAGAAATACAAAAAAAATAAAAATGGCAAAAGAACATAACAAAAATGCCAAAAAATAAACTAAAATTAAATCTGAAAATATAAAAAAATAAAAGTATGAAAATATGAATAAATAATATAATAGTATATAAATAATACTAAAATAACACTGATCCTTATGGAGAAAATGAACAGAAAAAATACTTTTCTGTAATTTCTCAAAAGATGGGAGGTTACTGAAATCTTACTTATGTCTTCCGTTGGACAAGAAGACAGTGGGATGATATAAAAAATCTATGTCTTCAGTTGGACAACAAGACAGTGGGATGATATAAGAATACATTTGTAATTAGAATGAATTACATTTTTCCACAGTAAACAGTATGCATGGATGATTGAAATGTCTCATGTGGTTGTATTAAAATTCATACAATTAGAAGCTTTTGCTTCTGAGGGTTGTCAAGTTTGGCTGAGAGTGTTTGTATGTGATTGTGATGAAAGCAGTCATTCACATGTGGCTTGGCATTTTGCCCAAGGTGCTCGTCTGAATTATATGCTGTTGATTGTTTGATGCTCGGTAATTAGTTATTAATGCTGGTCATTAGAGTGAAATTGTAGGGTAGCGTTTCCGAAACTGTTCCAAACCAAAGTGAGTTGAATGAAAAAAACGCACTGAATGAAAAAAGTGTCTAAAATAGTGGGAAACATTTGGGATCTCACAATTTGATTTGATTCATGAAGTCACAATTCATTCTCAATTCCGATATATAGAAAATCCTACTTTTTTGGTCTTTGCAAACTGAGTGACAACAATTATGATATTATCGCACAACATTGGATCCATTTTCAAATGTTTTCACTGAGCTGCATTCATCTCTTCAACACTTCATGTGGCTTATATAGCCAGAATTCTTAAAGTACAAAAATAGATCTGCTTTTCTTTACTAGGGTATAAATATCCAACATGCTTTCTTTAATCAACATGCAGATCTGGTTTGGCTACATGAATGATTGTACAGAGCGGAAATGTAGCATTTGAAGGAGTGAAAGTTACATACATGCAGTGAGCGAGAACCGTCGTCTCGTTTCTGTGCCTGGTTTCTGTTTGATTGACAGTTTCGTAGTAACCACTGGAGGTTTGCAGACTGGTTTTCCAGACATCAACACGGCCTGTTTACAAGTACAGCAAACGCTCACATTCTCATTTATTCAGGAGTTGATGCAATTATGTGGGAGTTTGGTGGAGTCAATTTTCTCAACTTCTTTTTTGTGATCTCTCTTACTTTTTGAGTGATTTTTTTTGTCAAAAACACTATCTTTTGTTCAAAATCACTATCTATCTATCTATCTATCTATCTGTCTGTCTGTCTGTCTCTCTCTGTCTGTCTGTCAAATTAACTAATGTTTTATAATAAACATTTCACATATATGCATTTATATAGTCCCTTGTGAACAAGTGACAAACATAAAACTCCCTCCATCCATCTATCCCAGAACATTCTGCCACACCCTACTGCTCTCTCTCTCACCCACATGCTCTTCCCACCAGATTTTACACACCCACACCCACAACTGGGTGGATCCCTCATAGAGTATCATGGAGGAAGAGATAATTGGCTAATCGATATGTACAAATGCATGATGCATCAGTGCCATATCAGATATCATCTGATATTATGGGTGTTAAATTGTCTTAATAACACTATTAAAAGTCATTTAAGCATTTTTTCATACCGTACATGATGCCTAATCTCATTTAAAAAGATTTTAAAAGATTGATTTTAGTTTTAAGTGTTGTTTTTAATTTATTACAAAATACTACAGAATTTTAGTTGCATAGTTGCAAGTAGCTGCTCGAATAATAATGCCTTGAACTTTTATCACCCTGTTTCTTCTCCCCGGTTTCTTTTTTTTTTTCAGGGGTGTTGTATCTGCAGTATGGAGATGACACAAAGCAGATACGCATGCCTAATGAGATAACAAGTGTAGATACAATCAGAGCTCTGTTCGTTAGTGCCTTCCCTCATCAGCTCAACATGAAGATGCTGGAGTCGCCCAGCACCGCCATCTATGTGAAAGACGAGACCAGGAACGTGTACTACGAGCTCACTGATGTTAGGTGAGTGTGTGTGCTAGAGCTTCAGCCTCCTTAAAGTTTCAACAGCTTACTATCTTCCTTCCTCATTCCACATGGCCTGCTTCCTCTAGTTCTGTGACATCACTTAACATAGGAAGTGACCTTCTTCGAAGTCCAAGTGCACCTCTGTTTCCTTTTCTGTTGCTTTTTCCTTGAGAACCAACTCAGTAATTGAATCTCACATGCATTAGTTTTACAGGAAATGTGCAGTTGTTAAAGTGTTGAAAATGAATGAAAACTCATACATACTCACCCTTATGTTCTGCTTGTGGAATATAAAATGAGATGTTTACCAGAATGTCCATGCTGCTTTTTTCCAAATTAAAAGACAAAACAACAAAAGAAGCCTAAATGTGTCATGAAAGTAGTCCATAAGACTGCATTATATTCCAAATCTTCTGTCATATGATAGCTTTATGTGAGGAACACATTGAAATTTAAGCTTTATTTGCTGAAAATGCTGTCTGCCATGGCTTTCAAATCTTATTTGTGATACTAAGACTTCATATGGGTTTGAACAGCATGACAGTGAATACATGATGGCAGACTTTTCATTTTGTGGGAGAGTTATTATCTTATATGGAACTATAGCTGTGAAAATATTTAGTAATATTTTTTTTTGAATTACTGTAAATAAGACACCCTAGCTCACATACACATACACATGAACAGAACATTATATTTAGATTTAATTTGAACCAAATTGCTGTCTCATACTTTAAAATACCTCACAGCATTTGTTTCTCTGACTTTAAACCAATAAACCTGACTGTCTATCATACATCACCCACCAGCACAGCTAATGTTAACATAACACTTATGTCACACTTCAAACAAACACTCCCACATATTTTCGCTCTCATTCTCTGGTCTTTCGTCTTTCCCTCCACCCTCAGTCTACAAACACTTGTGTGTCCATTGCTTTCCTTACCGTATCTCTCTACCTATTTACAGAATTATGAATAAACCACAACACATTCTCAGTTAGGAATCACATTTGAAAGACCCCATGTAATGAGAGCTGGAGTTTTGTGACTTTTAGTCCGTTTCTATGTGCTAGTATACTGCTAAAAGTTGACAAAATTATACACTACTGCTCAAAATGTTTTTGAAAGAAGTCTTATTCTCACCAAGGCTGCATTTATTTGATCAAAATACAATAAAATCAGTAATGTTGTGAAATATTATTACAATTTAAATAACTATTTTCCATGCAAATATATTTTTAAATGCAATTTATTCCTGTGATGGCAAAGCAAAACTTTCAGCAGCCATTTCTCCAATCTTCAGCGTTTCATGATCCTTCAGAAATCATTCTAATATGCTGATTTGTTGCTTATGAAACCAGTGGCGTTTCGTGGGTTTTAAAATAGAGGAGGCACACTAATTGGTCTGGGAATCCCTGCCGATTAATATTATTATTTGCTTAACCACTTTAAAATGACTTTTTTGTTGCTTTTAGTCAGAAAACACCTCATACAGCATATAATTTCACTTACCTGCCTGTTGTGCCATTTAATTAAGCCGACTGCTGTAGCCTATATCCAGCTTAGGCGTGTTCTCCCTTT